TGTTCTATGATTACAGCACTTTTATAAACCCACTCCCCTAGCTGTGTTGATAACTCACATTGAAGGTGAACTGACCGACAGTGAAACTTGTGTGTGTCTGATGGTAGTAACTGATGTTCCATGTGTTCTATGATTACAGCACTTTTATACACTCACTTCCCAAGCTGTGTTGATGACTCACATTGAAGATGAACTAACCGACAGGGAAACTTGTGTGTGTCTGATGGTAGTAACTGATGTGCCATGATTTCTGTGATTACAGCACTTTTATAAACCCACTCCCCTAGCTGTGTTGATAACTCACATTGAAGGTGAACTGACCGACTGGGAAACGAGAACAAATGTTTCCTTTAAATGTTGTGTACCGTAACTGTATGTGATGTTTCATAAAAGGGTTAGTAATAAATTCCAATGAAGTTTGTTTTAAATGCTTTAACAGTATAAAAAGTGTGTTCAACTCGTGATTATTTTTGTGATTAAAGTATAGGAATGATACTTGTTTTTTTGTAGATCAACATATTTACAGTTTCTTTGTAGGAATTAGTTCTCTATAAGAATGGTGAAAACAACGGGTATACATATGTGATGGGATTAAAATTTTATTACTTAAACAACTATCTCAAAAGTGTTCCACAAGCTTTTCACACAAACCTTGGGTAGAGTAACTTGCAAGTGACTGGGAAGTGCCACTTTATTTTATTTTTCTGGGGTGTTATTTAGTGTGAAAATCTTCCATTTCAGGAACCCCCGTTAACAGGATTCCTATTATGGCCAAACAGGTGTTGGACCTATACGAACTCTACAAATTAGTTGTAGCAAGAGGGGGTTTGGTGGAAGTCATTAACAAAAAGATTTGGAGAGAAATTACCAAAGGCCTCAATCTCCCGTCTTCCATTACCAGTGCTGCATTCACACTACGTACACAGTAAGCTGTTTTCCTTTTTTTTAGATAACATAATAAAATGTTTCTAGCTTAGACACAAATTATTCTTTATGAAATTATACTTATTTGTATCGTTTTATTTGAAAAAAAATCAGGTATTCATGCATGTTTCCAAATTTCTGTAGTTTGATAGTTGTAAACTGTACTTTTACACACTTTGATTTTAGCTAGATTTTGGAGTATTTAAATAGGATATACTCTGCCAAAGGTAACGAGTTCGAATAACCGCGCCATCTAACGACCATACATACAACTACATAATTCCATGTTACATAGTTATTTAGTACGTTAATCGAAAACTCTAGGGGATTTTAAAAATTGAAGTTGAAAGTATAATATTGGTATAGTATCCTTAGAATTTCTATAAATCTGTCACCTATTTAATTATGTTTGCTTGTGTTACTATGTGAAACTAGCCATAAATCTATTAAATGTGTTGTTAAGATTATTCGAGGCACTTTTCGTTAACAGTGATAAAGTAATTTTCATTCTTCGGTAACGATAATTAGCTGACTAGTTTGTATTCTAAACCTATATGTAAACCCTTACAACTTGGTAAAGATTTAGTTAGCCGAATCGGTTTAGTGTTATTGTAAGCTCTGTTCTGACCAAATGCAAAAACACAAACTTTGTTACATTTACATACGTAATAAACTTAGTTTCAGCTATACTTATTAACTATACTAAGAACAGAAAGGTTTTATATCGTGGTTTGTTGTTAATATTTCATTGAACCGATTCGTTCTGGCAACAGTTTTAAGTTCCTAGTGTACATTAGTGATCCTTCTCTAGAATTTGTAGTTTGTTTAGAAATCTTAGCAAGTGATGCTTTAGTTTTATTCATTAGGAAGCACGTAATTAAATTCATTAAAAACATAGTATGTAGTTGTCTAGTACATGAATGTTTAGTACCTCGATCTGTCTTGTATTCAACAATTTGTAAACAATCGTCTACAGATTATTAAATACAACATTTAGAAACGTATTGAAAATATGAGCTGACTTTTTTTTTATTGGACATACATATTAAGATGAGCTGCAACGCGGCAACGGAAACGTAAGAAAATTATGATAGATATAAAGTGATTTATTAAAAAGCATCTAGACCCCAGTTTTTTAATAGTTGCCAGAAACAAGATTAGTATTAAATAAATCAAACGGGTTTCAAACTTTCTAAAATATATGGAAACATAACACTGACGAAGAGATTTGAAACAGCCTAAATTAATGTCCTCTAAGTCTAAATACACGTTATTAACCAAACACTTACTGAGAACGTAGGGTCTGTTATTTCAGGAATATCTTATATATTTGATGAAATGTGCCTTCTTTCGGTCTATCAGCTCAAAATTGTGACTGATGTGCGGAGATAACCCTTCGTGTAGCTTTGCTCAAAAATTCTGAAAAACAAACAAATTTCTTGCAAAATCATGAACAACAAATAAATGAATAAAAAAAACACTAGTAATGCAAATTAGTATATAATGCAGTAAATGGAATGAAAAGTAACGCTACTTATATAGCTATAAACTATCATTACGTTTAGCATTATTTAATAAACAGAAATTCATTGGTTGTATTAGTGCTTGAAAATTCATAAGGCTGTTGCCAACCGATGTTTCGTCGAAAAGTTACAATATTGGTAGTAAGAAACTATTTGATTTGATATGTCGTGGGAGATACATTGATAGATTTCTTGCTAAATATAATATATAATAATTTTACTAAAAACGTTTCCGCGAATTGGGTATTTAAAAATCGATAAATTAGCTGTCGATCATATTATACCAGACATCCGCTCCTTTAGTGTAAAAGATAACTGAGTACTCCACTATCAACTATTGATAGGAGACATGATCAACTTTTAACTTTCCTGCTGCCATTTTCTTCCCCATTCCATCCGCTCCTTTAGTGTAAAAGGTAACTGAGTATTCCACTATCAACTATTGATAGGAGACATGATCAACTCTTAACTTTCTTGTTGCCTTTTTCTTCCCCATTCCATCCGCTGCTGTAGTGTAAAAGGTAACTGAGTACTCCACTATCAACTATTGATAGGAGACATGAACAACTCTTAACTTTCCTGCTGCCATTTTCTTCCCCATTCCATCCGCTTCTTTAGATGTTCATGTCTCCTATCAATAGTTGATAGTGGAGCACTCAATTACCTTTTGCACTACAGCAGCGGGTGGAATGGGGAAGAAAATGGCAGCAAGAAAGTTAAGAGTTGATCATGTCTCCTATCAATAGTTGATAGTGGAGTACTCAATTACCTTTTGCACTACAGCAGCGGGTGGAATGGGGAAGAAAATGGCAGCAAGAAAGTTAAGAGTTGATCATGTCTCCTATCAATAGTTGATAGTGGAGCACTCAATTACCTTTTCTTAACTTTCCTTGCTGCCATTTCTTCCCCATTCCACCCGCTGCTGTAGTGCAAAAGGTAATTGAGTGCTCCACTATCAACTATTGATAGGAGACATGAACATCTCTTAACTTTCCTGCTGCCGATTTCTTCCCCATTCTATTACTGAACATCGAGTTTAGTACAAGCCTGTTGTAAATTTGGTTTAACGTTCATATTTTTAGCTGATGTCGTATGTTATATACACAAATTAGTAGTGGATGCTGGGTAACGTTTATCATTTTTATGTATAAATGCTAGGTTTCTTATTCTCACAGTATATAGCTTTCCCCGCCCCCAACGGTTTAGCAGTAAGTCTGTAGGATTGTAACGTTAAAAACCCGTAGTGGATATAGCACAGATAACCCATTATGCAGCTTTGTGCTTAACAAAAAAAGCAAGCAAGAAAACAAACAAAGAAACTCATAGTATATAATAACGTAATATAATGTTCTGTATTTTGAAATGAAGTTGAGTACTATATTTGTGATTTATCTGCTTCTTTTAGGCGTAAAGGAATATTTTCAAAATAATAGCTAGCTTAAGAATTACTTATTTTCTTGATAAAGATACTGTTTTTATGATATTATGTAAAAGTATGTCAATAGGCATCGCATTTCAAATTTAATTATACTGTTATCCGTCCTGTCTATAATAAAAGACACGTTAAGGACAAAAATAATGATTACCAGCAACAATTAAACGTACACTTCGAAAAGTTTCGAATTATTGTTAAAAATACTAGAAATGGGAGAACGCTGCCTTAATCGTAAAAAAAGGCGTTTGTAAAAGGTTGCCAATGATGGAGGTAAGAAAAGGCAGGTAAATATCACTCTAAGTGTCTAAAGTGGAATCCATTAACAAGAGATGGAAGTAGAAAAAGGCAGATTATTATCACTTTAATTGTCTAAAGTGGAATACAGTAATAAAATATTCGCAGGTACGTAGGTCGCACTTCACAAAGATTGCAGGATAGAATTAAACAACATGTACCCACATCCATAAGAACTAAGAGTGTGAAAATAAAGAATTTATCATGTTGCTCCTGTAAAACAAAAGTTCTACCACCAAAATGTGAATCAGCATTGGCCAGCATTTACTAGTGAACCTGACTTGTGCTGACAACTACACGGATAGCAGGTTTGAAATTATTGCAAATGGTCGGTCGACCTTTCATCTCTATATTTTGGAAGCCACCTTTATTAAAACACATAAACCTGTCCTTTGCCACCAACAAGAATTCCTATACAATCTACACGTCCTTCAGTAGGTCTGTGGCATTTCCTGATTGGCTAAAGGACATGCCAATCAGTAATTGCTTTACCGGCCTACGTTGATCTAATTCATTTTATAAGCTGTACCATTTCCTATAGATCATTTTCCAGATTGTTCTGCTATAATTAGTGCCTGGCAAAAAGCTTCAGCAGATATTTCTTCTGCAACATCTCAACCAACAATTGGTCCAGTTCTCAACGCTATTTTCAAGTTTTGAACAACTCGATTTTCAAGATCTACGTATCTACATGAGCCGATGTTTCCATTTCTCAACGTTATATTTTAAGATCTCAGCTAACAGATGTTTCCGTATATAAAAGCTATCTTCAAATATATTAAGTTTTTCGATTAATAGGCGTTATAACAATCACGGTTATAGCCTCCGAAGTTTATAGCCAACCAATAATAGATGATGTTTTTAGGCGTGTTGCGTTGATTATATTTATAGACGTGTGAAGAGTTTCTCGAAATTTAATTTTGACGTAACGTTTACGTACATACATATGTTGTTGATTATTACACACGAGGATCTTCTACAACTTTAGAGAATAGGCGAGAGTTTCGCAATACAGATTTAACAGTATACGTTATTATATTTCTAAATATAAACTTAATTTAAACAAACATCAATATTAAAATTAATATGTAATAGTAAATACGTCACATTGTTTAAAATGGACCCGAAAAGCATTCCGAATTCACAGTATCATTGTTGTCATGGTATTAATGTAGCTGTGAAGTTGTGTATCAAAGGTTTCTCCCATGTATCTCAGCATCTCTTTTAGAGGGATGGCAGAGTCCGCAAAGAATGATGATGATTAGTCCTGATCAATCTGTTGTTATCAAATATCATCGAAGAAAAGCATCATCTCTAATGTGGTGTGTTTTACTCATGTGTAAGAACATTACCATCAGTAAAAACATTTTCAAATGTAATCGTTTTATGTATATATGAATCGGATTATTAAAACAATTATATATTCCAAATAAAGAATATATCACTAGGCTAGCTATAAAAATTAGTAGGAATTGTACAATTTTAAGCATTAAATCATCAAGCCTACTGAATTGTACGTTTTTAATAAATAAAATTAATCTTCAAGTTTTACTTATTGAAAACTTTCGAGAGCTAATCTTTCAAAAGTAAAATATTCAGTGATCGTCGAGTTGAATACTATGTGAAAATCGAAGGCGCTGAGCCCTAATGTGGAGGCCCATGAGTTCTATAATAAAGCTCGAAAATTATATTCTAAGAAAAAGTTGGTTGAAGAACAAAAACAAATAATTGGTTGAGTGTAGAGATGAGTTATCGTCATATGCAAATAATGAAAAATTTTTAAATAAACGTTACAGTTTCTCTAAACTTTCCTGTAAGAGGCGTGGGTTGGTCCTGCGGTTAAGCTCTGGATTTCGGAGCTGGTAAGCCTTGTTTGAAACTGTGGTAACAAAATATCCACACACACACACTTTAAGCTGTGGGTACATTATAAGAGTGACAGTTAATCCCTTAGTGTAGATGGTGGGTAGTAGGGTGTTGCTGACTGTCTGCCTTCCCTCTGGTCATTAGTTCAAAATTAGGGGCGCTGGCAGATAGCCTTACCAGCGTTGCCATATATACAAAATATGCATATAAATTTAAATATTTTCAGGTGTTGGTAGCCTATCTCTTCGTGCACCGCGAACCCCTAGTCTGATTGTAAATTGAAATACTTTGCTGTATTGTTAATAAATTTCTTCGTGTACCACCCCTAATTTGATTGTATACAAATTTAGATACGTTATTGTATTGCAAGTCTATCTCTTCGCACTACGACCCCCTAGTTTAATGGTATACAAATATGAATACGTTCGTGTACTGGTAATACATGTCGGACTCCTAATTTGATTGTATAAATAATTGGCTGGGAGAATCGTTAGACTTCCCAGCTTGTCAGCTAACACATGTAGCTTGTCAGCTAATACATGTTATACATGTAGTAAAGTGCATTCATTGTACCTTATAGCTTTAAGCTACCAGAATTGGGTTTTCTTTTGTATGAGACAAAGCTGAAAGCTGTAATTTTTCAGCTCATGCCTGTTTGTCAAATGTATCTTATTCATCATTTTCTTGTAATGTTTTCGAATGAACTAAAGGGGTTGTAAATCAAAGCGTATGTAATCATTAGATAAAACAGCAACGTTAGTTTTTCTGTTCAAAGTGTTGGAACGTTATTACTATGACTCTTTACATCTGTTGCAAAATTTAAAAACTATTGGATGTAATGCTTGTATGTTTAGAATTAACTTGGAAGCTTCCAGTGTAAGTTGTAATTCTTAACTCATCTTTAAAATTGTTTATATAAAAAGGTGTTACATTATTTTGTATCTTTGTTTGTTTAAGCACAAAGCTACACAATGGGCTATGTGCGCTCTGTCCACCGTGGACATCGAAACCCGATTTTTAGCTTTATAAATTCTCAAACTTACCGCAGCCACTTGGGGTTTATGTATCTCTGATAGATCCCCCCCCCCGCCGCCCGTGTGCGACAACGTGATTACTGTCAGATAGATTCAAATAGTTTGAACCTTTGAAATTATTGTGTAAAGTTAATGAATTAGACCCCCGCACGAGACGTAGAATATTTTTATAGTACCTCTGAAAAGCTGAAGAACACAGTTTGGAACCTAAAGGTCACACCTGCTTCGGTGTAAAATAGGTCATCATAGATAAAAATAGGTCATTACATATGTCTGTAATGAATTTCAGTTTGTACCAAACTGAAGACATTTCCATGATTATGTTGAATTTCAAAGTTGCGATATTTCACTAACACTGTAGTTAATATTTTTTTGCTGAGAAAAAAATATTAATACCAAGTCAAAAGAGTATATGCAACTAGTGATGTCTCAGCGTGACAATTATCTGTATGATTATGATATCTTCCTGGTGTTATTTATATATTACTGGGCTCTGTTTTACAGTTTTTATAATCAGTTCTTGTACTTATTGTTTCACACTTGTACAGATTTTATAATCAGTTCTCGTACTTACAGCTTCATGCTTGTACAGTTTTTATAATTAGTTCTCGTACTTATTATTTCACGTTTGTACATATTTTATAATCAGTTCTCGTACTTATTGTTTCATACTTGTACAGTTTTTATAATCAGTTCTCGTACTTATTGCTTCATGATTGTACAGTTTTTATAATTAGTTCTCATACTTATTGTTTCATACTTGTACAGTTTTTATAATCAGTTCTTTTACTTATTATTTCACGCTTGTACAGATTTTATAATCAGTTCTCGTACTTATTGCTTCATGCTTGTACAGATTTTATAATCAGTTCTTGTACTTACTGCTTCATGCTTGTACAGTTTTTATAATCAGTTCTCGTACTTATTGTTTCACGCTTGTACAGTTTTTATAATCAGTTCTCGTACTTATTGTTTCATACTTGTACAGTTTTTGTAATCAGTTCTCGTACTTATTGTTTCACGCTTGTACAGATTTTATAATCAGTTCTCGTACTTATTGCTTCATGCTTGTACAGATTTTATAATCAGTTCTCGTACTTATTGCTTCATGCTTGTACAGTTTTTATAAATAGTTCTCGTACTTATTGTTTCATGCTTGCACAGATTTTATAATCAGTTCTCGTACTTATTGCTTCATACTTGTACAGTTTTTGTAATCAGTTCTCGTACTTATTGCTTCATGCTTGTATTGATTATCTTTATTAGTTTTTGTTTTTTAACTCTTTGCTGAATAGTATAAAACAAAGTCACATCGGTAAAACTGTTCATTATATATCGTCATATAACGTATGGCTTTTTACAATAGTGGAAGCCTAAATTAACGTAAGTACCAAATGCGGTGGTATTTGGTTATTACTAGAGTTATTACTCTTTTAATTATTTCTACAAAAGAACTGAACGTACGAAAGTAAGGTCATCAAGATTTACGCAACACTTAGCTTATTCATGACACATCATACTTAATGTATCAAGATCTACTTTGGCAAACTTATGTGTGTTTCGAAACGAGTGAGTCATGTTTAAACTCACATTATAGCGTTTCTACTTTATGTCGTCATTAGATTTCAGTTATCTTTAGTTTTCCTACCACAATCTTTTTTTTCTTGGTCCAATATATCCCGTTATTTCTTCTGTATTTCAACAGATACTTTTGTAAAGTGATTTTTATGGATCTTTAATATACTCAAAAAGCAACAGCTTCAGAATATGACTCATTAGAATTCATTTACGACACTTGGAAGGTATATACAATCACAAAATTAGATAAATGACAATGACGGAAACTAGCGCCCTCGGGTGGTAAAATTCACTTCATCAGTGTTGTTTTCTTGTATCTCGATGAAGTAAGGTCTGTATGAAAAAAAAAGTGTATATTTCTTTGTCAAAACAAGTCCATTTCAGTTGCAACAGAAATTTTAGTTTAAAAAATGATTTGTTTAATCTCCTTGTTGGTATATCTCTTAAATAAACTAAACCAAAACTGCCCTATTTCTGTTCCTTCTTAACACAGATTTTTGGCTTGCTCAATAGGTACATGAAATATTTGTACCCTTATGAATGCGAGAAAGAGAAACTCAGTACGCCGGAGGAGCTGCAGGCGGCCATTGACGGAAACAGGAGGGAAGGTCGCAGGTCTAGCTACACCCAATACGCCGACATGGTCAGTGTCTCACGAAACTCGCACCACACACCACCACACCACCAACACCCAAGCCATGTTCGCAATATCTCACCTCTTGACCTCGTATCTAGGCAAATTAACGGCCACGGCTCAAACCAAGGAGGCTCATCAGGTAAGAAAAAACTAATATGTTAGTTAAACGTTATGCCATGTACCACACATGAAGTATTTTGAGGTACAACATGATGTTTGTGGCATTTCATGATTAGAACAGCTACTTTTCTAGTTTTCACACCCCATTTCGTCGCACTGTCCAGTCTCTTATTCTGCGCATGCTGCTGTTTCCATTATATCTCAAATGATAGTTCTATAGCATGGTAACACAAGAACAGTTCAACGTTAACAACAGTGTAAACTATCCAACGATATTCGTAATGACTGTGGAAGGCTCCAGCCAGAGTGCTGTTAGCGTGCAGTGTGTGTGTTTTGTTTTATCGCAAAGCTACACAGTGAGGTATCTGCGCTCTGCCCACCACGGGCAATCGAATTCAGGATTTTAGCGTTTTAAATAATAAAACTTACCGCTGATCCACTGGGGGACAAGATTACAGAGATAACAGAAAATAATGTTCGTGGAGAAATGTCCTAGAGTTTGTTAACGTAGAATTAACCTCACGAAACGAGTCTAAAATCACCTTTATAAAGTATTGTTTTAACTTCACAAAACGTGTCTAAAATCACCTTTATTAAGTATTGTTTTAACCTCACGAAACGTGTCTAAAATCACCATTATAAAGTATTGTATTAACCTCACAAAACGTGTCTAAAATCACCATTATAAAGTATTGTTTTAACCTCACGAAACATATCTAAAATCACTTTTATAAAGTATTGTTTTAACCTCACGAAACGAGTCTAAAATCACCTTTATAAAGTATTGTTTTAACCTCACAAAACGTGTCTAAAATCACCTTTATTAAGTATTGTTTTAACCTCACGAAACGAGTCTAAAATCACCTATTATAAAGTATTGTATTAACCTCACAAAACGTGTCTAAAATCACCTTTATTAAGTATTGTTTTAACCTCACAAAACGTGTCTAAAATCACCTTTATTAAGTATTGTTTTAACCTCACAAAACGTGTCTAAAATCACCTTTATTAAGTATTGTTTTATAACATTAACATACAAATGCAGCTGATCAAAATCTGAAATATCTGTCAAAGATACTGTGCTGTCATCTCGTTTTACAAAATGCTAGCAAGATAATGTAGATTTTTATTTCATGTTTTCCACTCATATAATCTGAAATTGGGTGTTGATGACGTAGTGTATTCCTGAAAATGGTTTTTTATTTACATCATTGCTTGTTTTTCATAGTTTTTCGCGTACTCGTTATTTAAGTATGAAGAAAGAAAGATGTCAGTGTAATCAACCATTCTTAGTATTCTTGGTTTGTGCTGCAAACTGGAAGGTCCAGGGTTTGAGCCGCGATATGCTGTTGAATATGCTGCGCACTTTTAAACATGAGAGTCTCATAACATTGACGGTGAATCACGCTTTTCAATTATGAGTGGATTTTTTATTGCCTTTTGGTTAGCAATTATAAATTAGAGTTAGCTATGCATGAACTTTGGAGCTTTTAATCCGGCCGTACCCCCTAGTGGCTCAGCGGTAAGTCTGCGGACTTATGACGCTAGAAATCAGGTTTCGAAGCCTGTGGTGGGCACAGTACAAATAGCCGAATGTGTAGCTTTGTGGTTAACTACAAAGAAACAAAAAACCTGGCCGTTTAGCATATGTCTTGCATAAAGCAAATGATTGTAATGAAAAAAGTTGTGAAAACGACTTCAGCTTTCGCTATAAAATTGTGTTTGTAAAGCTGCTAAATTGTCAAATCACCCTTAGTTTGTTCAAACTAGCTACAAAAATGTGTTTGTTATTAAACAATGGTTTTGTTTGAACCAGCTAGAGAGCTATACAAATGTGTGTTTATCATATTTTATTATTAAACAGTGGTTTTGTTTAAACCAGCTAGAGAGCTATACAAATGTGTGTTTATCATATTTTATTATTAAACAGTGGTTTTGTTTAAACCAGCTATAGAGCTACACAAATGTGTGTTTATCATATTTTGTTATTAAACAATAACTTTGTTTAAACCAGCTATAGAGCTACACAAATGTGTGTTTATCATATTTTATTATTAAACAGTGGTTTTGTTTGAAGCAGTTATAGAGCTACACAACTGTGTTTTTATCATATTTTGTTATTAAACAGTGGTTTTGTTTGAACCAGCTATAGAGCTACACAAATGTGTGTTTATCATATTTTGTTATTAAACAATAACTTTGTTTGAACCAGCTATAGAGCTACACAACTGTGTTTTATCATATTTTGTTATTAAACAATAACTTTGTTTGAACCAGCTATAGAGCTACACAACTGTGTGTTTATCATATTTTGTTATTATAGAGCTATACAAATGTGTGTTTATCATATTTTGTTATTAAACAGTGGTTTTGTTTGAACCAGCTATAGAGCTACACAACTGTGTGTTTATCATATTTTGTTATTAAACCATATTTTGTTATTATAGAGCTATACAAATGTGTGTTTATCATATTTTATTATTAAACAGTGGTTTGTTTAAACCAACTATAGAGCTACACAAATGTGTGTTTATCATATTTTATTATTAAACAGTGGTTTTGTTTGAACCAGTTATGGAACTACACAACTGTGTTTTTATCATATTTTGTTATTAAACAGTGGTTTTGTTTGAACCAGCTATAGAGCTACACAAATGTGTGTTTATCGCTAAAAGGGCGAACATGTTTGGTGGGAAGGGGATTCGAACCGCGACCCTCATATTGCGAGTCGAGCGCCCTAACCACCTGGCCATGCCGTGCCTTAACCAAGGGAGTTGTCAAACCCCAGTGCTACGTTTTCTTTGAATTCTGTTAGTGTAGGTTTTCGACAGCTATTCAGCATATTAATTCATTTATTTGATTATAATATAAAATTAAATGCTAGTCTAATAATACTATCGTTCAAGTTTTTAAGCATTCTTTGTTGGCTTGGAGTTGAAGATGTTTGAAGTATGCGCTAGCCATTTTAATAAAACATTTAAAAAGTAGGTACAACTTAGTTTGAATTTTTGGTTAAAAACGTGTTTTCAATAAAACATACTATCTATATTAATAATCATTAACCAATAATTTCATTTTTTGTGTGTGTGCAATCTTTTGACGCCCAATACTGATATAAGTAATTAAGGTATGTTGCTTTTCTTCTCCACTGGATTCATCTTACTGTGACGTTAAGAAACCAACTTCTGGAATATTTCCTGCTTTAATTGATCTATTTCTGTAAAAGGTATTAACCGTGTAATTACTCTTTCACTGTGTTTTTTATCTTTACCAAGCCTTGCCAGAAATAGAATATTTCTGCTGGCAAAGGGAGAACAGAAACGCATGGCAAAGATCAAAATAGTCGATAGTATTAACTCGACTCAGTATGAATGATAAAATAGATGTGTTGTAGCTTTGATTGGATTATTAATTTCTTTGTGGATGACAGATGTTACCCATTCTACTATATCATTGTAACCACCTTTAGTTCTTCCTATTTGTCTGTTCACAGCAATGCGTAAAAAGTAAGAATCCTCCACGTAAATTGTTAACAAGTATAATCACAAAGTAATATCCCATGGTAAATGTGGACGACTTGAATCTGCCAGTATAATCACAAAGTAATATTCCAGATGAATGTGAATACTGGATAATTAAATACAAATGTAAGGTATGTTGATGTAAACAAATTAATTTTCTTGCTGTTAAATATTTAGTTAAAATTAAACTGAAACTGGAAATATCAACCCGATCAGCCCACGCAGAGTAAACGGTCAGCTTAGAAACCTCTAAAATTTATGTATAGTCGCCGTTCCTTTTTATCTACCAACCAAAAGGTAGGTAGCCAACTAGTGGAACAAGGGTTTTCTCTGGCTCTTTGAATTAAATAACGGGAGTGACTGACCGTCGCTTTTATAACGAGTAAACACTAGTATTGTTATTCACACACTGGAGACAAACAGAAGGGAAGCGTTTCATTGAAGTTCGGTGATAAAGGAATTAAAGTTCCCTACCGCAACTAAAAATACAATAATAAGTAATCAGACCAAGGTTGTGGTCATTCACGTTGTAACGTTACACTGTAGTGAAGAGCCAATGAAATGAGTGAACGTACTATGATCTTCGACAACTGTGAATTTCAATGTGCTTTGTTTGGTTTCTAGCTCTTCTGGCAGCAATCTACTGTTTCTTTTAGTTTTTGTTTTTTTTTCTGAAATGTCCTGTCTCTCTTCTGCACAGACTATCGGAGAACCAGCCAGAAGAAATATGGCGACGCCCACTGTCATGTATCAATCCAACAATTGTGAAAGGAAATTCCCAAACCATAAATTATTGCTATTGCCAAAATTATACATAAATAAACAAATTAAGAAAGCTTACAAATTATACAGTTCACATAGTAAAGACAGATTCAAGTCGTCCACATTTACCATGGGATATTACTTTGTGATTATACTGGCAGATTCAAGTCGTCCACATTTACCATGGGATATTACTTTGTGATTATACTATCAGATTCAAGTCGTCCACATTTACCATGGGATATTACTTTGTGATTATACTGGCAGATTCAAGTCGTCCACATTTATTTGCTGAGGGTGTCCTTGGAGTAAGCTTAGACAATTTTATTATTGTTTTATATTGAATATTTTGTCAAACAAAATGATGTTTCAAGGCAATTATTAATTTATGTCTCAATCCAAAGACAGTTTTAAACCTTTTTTTTTTTTGAAGAAAAAAGTTTTGAAGTATTTGAAATCGGTTGTTACATTATGCTATAGGCGATGAAGACAACGACATTTCTTCAACCCCTGCACGAGTGATGTTCCCTCAACAGGAAGCACTAAATCTTGAAGTACCTCGGAATTCAGTCCATCCATCTCAGCCAGCAGATAAGATGGAGGATAGTATAGAAACACCTCCTGCCAAACGATTTTTATCTGAAGAAGAGCTCTTGTTGGCACGCGCAACGCTGCCTAGTGCTCATTTGAAAATTACAAGCAGAGGTAAAACGAAAAAGAAAGTTGCTTTTATTATGATTTATGTGATAAGTAATTTTCACACAAAACTTTCCAGGATATATATTAATATTTGAACAAAAGTGAACGCGTATACACTGAATAGTCACAAGTAAATAGACACCTAATTTTTCGTCATTTAACTGATTTATGCTAACTAATTTGTGTTCACAGAGCACTATATAAATGAAAATGGTCCGCACACTAATTATCTTGTGCTACAACATGCCTAGAACTCAAGGTTCTCTCGAATTGTCAGATTTTGTTAGAGGAAGGATAGGTGGTCAAGCAGATGGTGGAATACGTCAGCGACAAATTTCGCAGAATTTGGGAATCCCGCTTTCGACAGTCAACAGAATCATCGTGCAGTTTAGGAAACACGGCAAGGAAACAACTGAGCAGCGTCCGGGTCGTCCTGGTCCATCAGAGAGGACAAAAAGCGCTGTCAAGAGGAACATCGAAATGTATCCCAGATTAACGACTGCAGAAGTGGCCAAAGTTGGTGGGATGAGCCCAAAATATGTTCAACGGATTCTCCACAGATTGGGTTATCGTTGTAGAGCAGCTAGACGGAAGCCCTTATTTAGACCTGCCAACATAGTCAGACGAAAGAAGTGGGCAAGTGATATGATGACCAAACCTCTGGACTTTTGGAAGACTGTATTGTTCTCAGATGAATCAAGATTCGCTCAATTTTCGGACAGTGGAAGGATATGGGTCTGGAGAATGCCTCACCAAGAGTTTTGGCTCAACAGATTGCAGCCAACTGTGAAGCATGGTGGTTACAGCGTGATGGTTTGGGGAGCTGTTTGGGTTGGTGGGAGATCTAGCTTAGTGGAGTGCGTTGGCAACATAAATTTTGCGAAATACGACGAAATATTAGAGGAAGGACTCTTGCCACTTTATTCCTCGGGTTTCGTGGACAAGAACAAAACGTTGTTCCAGGAAGATGGAGCACCGTGTCACACTGCTAGAAATACCCAAAAGTGGCAGGAAGAAAATGGTATCCAGAAGTTGCCCTGGCCGAGCCAATCTCCTGACATGAACCCCATCGAAAACCTCTGGACCATACTCGACCGGCAAGTCAAGAAACAACCACAAAAAAAAAAAAAAAAAACAACTTCGAAGAGCGATCTACTCCAAGTTTTGAAGCAAGAGTGGGCTAAAATCCCACAATCTAAAATGACGAGATGATTCTCACGATGCCCCAAAGGATCAAC